CTGAAAAATTAATTTTGTACATTGTGAAAACCGTATCTAAGCACTGTGCCTAAAGTTTCCTTTCAGATTTAAGAGGATCTGACCATCCTTGGCTAATTCACTATAACGCTGAGTAGGAGAACCACTTAGTTTATTTTGAAAGAAAGGAAGATGTATAGCCAAAACAAACACCAAGGATACTGTTTATACTGATTTTTTTTCGAAGTTCAGTTCAATTTCAATGAATGTGACCTAATGATAAATAGTGTAAATGTCCACTGCTGATTGAGATAAGCCCTATAACCTCTTTGTATTTCTCTAACAGATATCACACTCTTGTTGACAAATGGCACAAAGTCAAAATACAGGCTGCAGTTCAATGACACCATACCCAACCACGAAAAGATCACTGCTGCTGAACTACAGCTTTTCTTCTTCCCGGATGCCAGGTCAAGGTTGACCTTCAACAGTTTTACGGCCACTGTCAAAGTCTATGAAGTGGAAGAGAATGATTTTACATCCAGGACTCAACTACTGGTTGGCAAAGAGGTTACAGGCTTGCAGAGTATGTGGACGACGTTTGATGTGACAGCAGCTATTCAGAGCTGGATCAAGTCAGGCAATGGAGCCACTGTTATTGATGTATTGGTGGACAGGAAGAGCTGTTGGGCTTCTGGTATTGGAGAGGAAGAAGCAGGCTGTTTAAATATGAGCGTGTCTGTTGGAGACAACACTTCAGCAGCTTTGATCGTTTTCTCAGATGACCTGGGTAGCAGGAGGAGGGAGAAAAAGAAGGAGCTTAAAGAGATGATCCTCCATGAAGAAGAAACCATCTTACACTCAGGCAATGACTGGCATAGAGGGGAGCAACTTCCAAATGCGATCTTGGATGCTCAGCTTCCACGGAGAAACAAGAGAAAGGCAGAGAGGGAGTACTGCCGGCGGACCTCGCTCAGGGTCAACTTTAAAGACATTGGCTGGGACAGTTGGATTGTGGCGCCTCCAGAATATGACGCCTTCGAATGTAGAGGGCTGTGCTACCACCCACTAACGGACGAATCAACCCCATCCAAACATGCCCTTATCCAGACATTGATCAACATTAGGGACCCCAAGAAGGCCAACATGGCGTGCTGTGTCCCCATCAAACTGGATCCCATCACAGTCATGTATCAGGAGAATGGACGTCTTACTATAAGATACCTGTATGAGGAGATGAAGGTGGCAGAGTGTGGCTGCAGGTAGTTGAAGAGGGTTGGTTGTTTGCTTTGGTGGTAGCACAGGTGATTGTAATAGTTCCAATGTCAGTCTGATGTTCACAGGTGATAAGTTGCGTAACCATTACCATGCCACACAATGGTCCACTCGAGGGAGCAAAGACCAGATCTAAGAATAAAGATTAATACCTCTTACAACCTTCCTATTTATCCCCATGCAACAGCATCACTGATATTCTTAAAAAATCAAATAAAAAAAGACCAATCCAATAATACCGCTCCAAATTGCACAAACTCATAAATATCTGTCCCCAAAATGAACAGTTTTTCATCAAGATACTTGAATTATTGCCTAAGCAATTGGTGTGATTGTCGAAAACACAATGTTAAAGAAAGTGGGGGAAAAAATCTTGCATCTGTGCCTATGTCCTACGCTGCCACCAGGTTTAGTGGAAGTTTGTTCCATAATTTGCGTAAACCTGCTGAAAAAACCTCCTTGGTGGTGGGTAAGACCTAGGTAATTACAATTCATCCATCGAGCAACATAAATGTAGTAACAACAACAATGAGGTGACAGACTACTGTCCCACCTCTCTGCCAATCACTGAACATAATGGATGAAGAGGTGTGCTTCTCCCTGACAGGGCTGAACTGTTGATTCTCTTCTCTGGATTATGGTTTGGTTTAGGTTTGTCGCTAGATTTGTTGCTCTTTTTTTTTTTTTTTT